GCGACGGGAAGAAATTCGTTGATGCTGATGAGGAAGATGCTAAGAGTAAGACTACCGATGGCACCTCTGGAGGTACTAATGAGCCTTCACCTGCAAATCCTGCAAAGGCAGACGAAGAAGTCGCAGACGACTATGTTTCTCAGAACTCATATCTCGTGCGTCTTATTGCGCCGCAAATCCAGTTGCAAAGCGAGAAAGACACAAAGTCTGCAGTGCTTGTCACAGCGAAAGGCATGCAGCTCAAGGTTCTACAGATCATGGACAAGGACAGAGTCATGGACGAGGTATCAGGCCTAGTCCAACGAAGGTTCATCGCGGCTATGGACAGTCTACAAATTTTCGTCACGAATTCAAAGACTTTCAGTAGTCCGGAGGATATTCACATGTACTCCGGCAGCATGTACGGAACCCCTGCTGGCTCGGCATGGCCACCATGGGTACCTTTCGAGGTCATGTTTGAATTTCACAGCAATCCTTTCGGGTTCCAGCGCGTGGTACAAAGAACTTCAGCCAGTATGCGATATGATAAGCACAACGCGCTGCGTCTGAAGTATAACGACGATGTCTCGGCTGGCGACTCTTCTTCCTCTACCGATAACATGGAGAGCCGAATTGACCACCTCTGGGTGGATTTCCCACACGTGCGAGCCCTGTGTGACTCTAGACAATACTACGCGATGTATGTCATCGTACTAGATCTACTCTTGTACCACGAGCCATTGGAAAAGACGCGTAATGAGCGACTTGAGAAAATCATGCTTGCCTCTGACTTCACCGACCTTGCCGGAGCTCCAAACCTAGTCATGGGTCTTCAGGAACGCATTCAGCAGCTCGAGGAGATCAAGACTGTCTTCCAGGTCAACGAGAAGTACCTGGACAAACAAGGATGGGAAGATCGTATAGAGGTCGAGAAAGACTTGGCTGTTTACGAGGATGAACTATTCTTCGTCATGAAAGCGATCACAACCGCACAGCGCAAGCAAGATGACCGTGCGCAAGCAAGACAGTCGACTGGGCTCTTGCGGATGTACGTCTCTGCATCTGACATTGTTTGGCATCTGCTTCGCGAAGGTGCCGAATCGCTAGCAGAGTTCCAACTCAAGAATGTAGCGTTCGATCGCACTGACAACAACGACGGATCTAATTCCAACTCTCTAGAGATTGAACAGGTGCGAGGTCTGAACCTACTACCCAACGCACTATACCCTGAAATGATATCGCCTTTCCTGGAGCAGGACCAGACTCTGCCGGAGAACGCCAGATGCCTCAAGGTCTACTTCGTGGCACTAGAGTCGATCGCAGGTATCCCTGTTGTGGAGCATTTTGAGGTTGAGCTATATCCACTGAAGGTGCAGCTGGAATACCAGATCGGCAAGAAACTGTTGCAATATGTTTTCCCTACGTATGGCGACAGCAAGACTGCAAATTCATCGCCTTTCTTACTCAAACACACTCTACCGACCCAGGATGAGGAGGATGAGGAAGCTAATAGCGTCGGGACAGCAAGCATGAACGCTTCGCTCTCAACGGATGACGGCGCAGTAGAAGCTCTCAAGCAACGACTTACGCCCACACTTCAGCTGCCTGATCCGGTACAGAAGTCTGATGCAAAGCGGAAGGGCATGGTGAAGCGGCCGAGCGCTCACTATTTCCGTTTCTTTAAAGATAACAACGCGTCGCGTAGTGGAACCGAGCTCCGTCGCACTCTTCATCCGAGCTCTGCATTGATTGTTCCTACGTTGGGTAGCACTTCCAACAACTCTTCTAGACCAAGCTCCGTTCGGTCAAGCACAACCAATTCAAGCCAGACTGTAAATGAGTCCGAACGAACCGCGAAACGCTTCGCGCTCTATCGTACTGGTACCAATTTGACTGAGAAGCGCACGAACAAGAAAGAAGTTAGGAGCGATGATTTGACAAAGATGATGAGTCGCGCAAGCGAGTTCATGACTGTTGCTTACTTCAAGATCCCCTCCATGGTCTTGTGTCTCTCCTACAAGGGCAAGAGCACACGTAACTTTGAAGATGTCCACGATCTGGTCTTCAGGATGCCTACGATAGAGTACCGCAACAAAACTTGGTCCAATTTGGATCTCGTCACACAACTCAAGAAAGATGTCTTGAGAGCGCTTCTATCTCATGCCGGTACGATCGTCGGTAACAAGATCTCGCATCACCGCCCGTCAGCCAAAGCACAGTCTCGTCTTCGTCAAATTGCCAACAGCAGCGCAATGCTCAACACGTCTCCAGATCTGTCCGGCACCGATTCGAATTCCATGCGTGACCACTCACCCGGTGGATCCGACCTCTCAGCCGAAGATCGCATGCCCCGCCGTTCTTTCGCATCAGGACGCCAAGGTAGTCTTATTAGCACTGTCTCGGAAGAAGGGTCATCCTTGCACTCTTCAAAGCCGGCTTCAACCAACCAAGCACGTTCCACGCACGGTTCTATCATGGGTGGCTACAGTCATAACAGCAGCGGCCTGGGCGTCGACGACGTCGAAGATGGACGCGCATTTGCTGATGAGCTGTCAAGAGTAGACAACACAGAGCCTGTCCACGCAAACCTTATTCATAGCTTGAGTAAACATATTGCTGGGGTCAGCGCACCCTTCGCTGGACACATGAGAAGCAGAGCTGGTAGTGGCGCAGCCAGCATGCGAGCTGCGAGCGTCGCCACTGGCATTAGTGGTGTCAGCGGAAGAGAAGGCAGCGTGATGGATGATGACACGGACGGTCCGAAGACGAAGAAAGCGAAGGCTTTAGGGAAAAAGCTACTCGGTAGGGGGAATTAGAGATTTCCCTTGTCGACAAGAACAGGAGCGTCGACTCCTGATTTCCTTATTTCTCATCATTCATAGCATCACTCGGCGTTTTTTCATTTGTAAATACTGGACGATAGATAGGTGGAGGAAGGACTTTTTGCTTTGTACTATAGCGTTCGAGGTGCCCAGGGCTTTTGGGTGAAAATAGTCATTCGTAACTCTTTCCTAGAGCATTAGTAGTATCAAAAAGATCACTATATTATTTTAGACTTCACAAATCTTATGCAGTATCAGAGTGTGGTTTCGCTCCTTCATTGATAGTACAGATTCGGTTGACTACGATGTTACTCGTTTTTTCGCGTAGATACAGGGTTGGCTTGCTCGACATGAAGACACGACAAGTTCGCGTTTGGTCGAGCTGGTTGGTGCGTTTCGAAGACGTCATTACCACATTTCAAGAGCATTCGATAGTCGCGATTTCGGTCTCTTTCCTCTCATCTACTCCATCATGGATACCCCCTCTGCATACAGACTGAAGTTGTTTTGAGCGCTTGAGTACCTTGTCCCAGCCTCTACATACTCGACAATACATCACAACGGTACATCCGAGGCACTGAGTTGTCGAACAGTGATATGGCGCTGAATCGTTTCTCAACCTGAACCATTACAGTTGTCAATGCAGGCACCGGCGTGCCGGACATGTTGCGGCGGCGAAGGATACAACCCCCCGAGGGCTGTTGAAAACCATTACCTTTGTTATTGAAACCACAACGAAGCTAGTGCTATAGCTGGTAAATCTTACCAGCAGAGACGTCGTACACGTTCAGTGTTTTCGCCACACCCGCGTGCACGGTCAGCGACCACGATCAATTTACACTGTGTTGCTAGCTCCTCTCGTCAGACGGTAGGCCTAGAGTGCCTCTGTTGTTGTTAAAAGGAATAGTTACTTGGACTGTGATTGATCAACTCAACCGCTGCTTTAACACATTCGCACTATCTAGAACTAGAATCACGACTGCGTACAGGTTCTTGAGAGGTATCACGTCCCGATATGGCCCCAAAACACAAGCATGATACTGGTACAGCTGTTAGCCTGGCCTTGAATCACAGTATCTTAGAAACACCGGTACAGAAGGCATGGTAAATACACGTTTCAATCTTTTGCGGTCACTAATACTATCCGCCCAGAGCACTCGGGTCATCATGCCCAACCATCATACCGTCACGTCGACGGAACGATATGAAGCTTCAGTCAAATTACAGTCTGGCTTCTTTTCACGTCTTCCTCTGGAGATCCGCGACGTGATATATGGCAAGATCTGGGGAGATGCGGACACCACTAGCCAGCGATCCCAACGCATAGGGTATGATATGGCATATGATGGCGGTAACGACCCTCTCGACTTTTCTGTTGGCACCGAAGCGAACAGGACGAATTGGCTCTTAACTAACAAGCAGATGATGACTGAAGGAATTCATCAGCTGTATCGAAAGTCCACATGTCACTTGAACGATGGTGACAATGCTATTTCGTCTAGGCCCGACGCCTCCCAATTACTGAGATCACTCCAGGTACTTTCGTACGCGATATATCTCCAGCACGAACCTTTCATCTTCGATGGTGAGCAGCGGAGTTACCGGATGAACTCTGCTGTGCGCACGCAGATCAACCGAACCATAGGATGGGCAGGCTCTACATCTCCAGTAAAATCATTCCAGATACACGTCAAACGTCCGTTTCAGGAGCCCGCACTTGCCAGGACCAAGGCAGACTTCAAGTTCGATCTTCAACACCTCGAGTCCCTCAAAAAACACGAAAACCTAAATAGATTTGAAGTCCATATCCTTTGTGATATGGATGATGCTGTGATGCTGTCTGCACATTGGAGAGTCAACAGTACAACACATGCCAGGTGCCTAGAAGACCACTACTTCGCTACTTTGAGGGCCGAGATTATACGTGTAGGCCAGTTCTTGATTGAGGGTGGTAAGAAGAGCGGGTATATGAAGGAGACTACTCGAGAGAGCGACGGGATTTGGCAGTTGAGCTGGGGTTGGATTTTCGAGAAACCGTGAAAGAATTGTCAAGTTCTCAAGTAATGAAGAGGCAGCATTTCCTGACGAGACTAACTGTAGCAACCATACAAGTAGCGTAAATTAGAAAATGGAAAGCAGATATCGAACAGAAGCCGAGTAATTATCAATAACATGCAAATGATCCATGAAACCAAAGGCATAGAGTGATCGATGTAAGAGTGACTTCCAGTTTGCATCTTGTTCCGAGAGCCGGCGGCTTTCGTCACACACGCAAAATCCATATCAACCCATGGTCATAGCTCACTGTAGGTGCCTAGTATGTCGCCTCTTTGTGACCCTTATTTGATCTTTTAAGCATCACAACTCGTCTTGTTGCCTCAGCTTCGCCCTATACCATGGTTTCGCAATCTTGGCAATTTCAATCTTCAAGCTTGCCTCATCAACTCCAAAGCTTTTGATGTACGTCTTCTCTTCTTCCAAAATATCCAGTTGTATCCACTTCAAAAAGTCTCCCAGCGCTCTTACATCTCGTTCCACACCCTTTTCTCGCAGCACATCCCAGCCTTGTTCTAATCGCTGTTGCGAGCACCACGCAACTGCTGAATCTGCGGCTGCTTTGCGCCTCTCTTTGACTGTGTCCATGGTGTCGGTTTGTTTTGGAAGGCGGAAGAATGTGGGTTTGAATTTTCCGCCTTTGCTCTTGAACCATAAAGCTGGGGTGGCATTATAATGAGGCGGAACGGGTTTCCAGACAATGCCTTCGCCCGGACCGGATATATCGAAAGTTGCTGCAAACGGACAGTGCGCAGCGACTTCTTCGGTCATGCGTTCCACTTCGGTTACTGTGCGCTCAATGTCTTCAGGGTAGAGTGTTGTGTGGAACTGTCCACATCTTGACGAGTTGTAGATATCATGGTCTGACAAATTGATATCAGGGTAATCCTGGTCTTGCTGCCATCGGCCGTTGATGTTAACTGACACTACGACGAATCGGCGGGAGAGTTGGGCGATGGCGACGTCTTTTTGTATCTTCTCGCCTATCCATTCGCCGGCTATGAGCACGGGCAAACTTTCTTCAATCGTTGCGTTAGGATTCAGTTCTCTCCATCGTGCCAAGTACAGGTTTCGCAGTTGAAGTATGGCATCGGTTTTGTTCAACATTGTCGCTGCAAAACCTTGGTTATCTTTTGCAACAGATAGACCGGGGATGTTTCGCGACTGGAAGACGATGCGATCGTCAGGATATACGAGTATATCTGCATGCGTACCATGAAGCTTGACAGTACCGATAAAGGGTACAGGCTCCAGGGCCACGCTTACATTGGGATGACTAGGGTCGCGGTTCAAGCGGTGCAGATGCTCGACGATATCTGGAATATGCGTTGTGATCTTGGGATAGAGCATTGACTGGTCAAGGTCGGCCGTTGCCATGGTGGGTAAAGATGACCTTGTCGTGTATCTCACAGCTCCGCTGGGATCACGACAGACGTAAGGATACTTTGCAGTAACCCGCCAGCGTTGCGCTTAGAGACACGGGATTGCAACTGGTAGATATTAACATGAAGCGTTCTCTGAACAGTCTGCATGCGAGAGGATAGAGTTCACAGAGGGGTCTACGGTTGATAAATTACTTCGCGGTATCGCTTTATGAGTCTTGCCACTGGAGTTGCGATGTCGCGATTCTCTTATCGATACGTGGCGTAGTTGTCAGTACTGCGCTCTCCAGCCCTGTCCATGGCAGTTCAGAGCCATCATAAAACTGCAACACGTCTAGGGCTTTCTAAATTGCCTATGGGGTGACCTCCCAGCTACGAGCCGAATCCATCAATGGGAAACTTTGCACATACTGTCGGGCTCAACTCCGGTGTAGCGTGCGCACAGGCGAAATCGTTATCAGTGAGCTTCTGATCGCCTGCATCAGCCCTGGAGGCTTGCGATAGCCTAGTGAGGCTGCTTTCACGTAGGGATACGAGGCCGGAATTGAAGACACTTGGTGTTGCAGTGCCTAGCTGCGGCTACAGAAGGGCGAGGGAGGTCTAATTTTGGTCGGAAATGCATCTAGAACGCATACAGAGTCATTTTCCATGAGCTTTATTTAACATTTTTGCTCTTGTGTATGTCTAAAGACAACAAGTTGTTGATGGTCCTGATCATGAGGCCGGAATTGAGTGCGCATCTAACGCCGATTTGCGGCTCCCTGCGGACCTTCTTTCGGTCTTATTCTGGTTGGTTCCCAACCGAACCGTTGCTACCACTCGTAATGGTCATCAACTATGACCGCCTTCACGAAACCACATCGTGTATCATCAAATAAGTCCTGAGAAATGCTTTACTCAGATTAATTTCGGGGGCGATTTACCATGATTGTACATGTGCTGGCCACGGTTTTTGTAAGATCGTGCAATTCGGTCCGATTTACAAGAGGCTGTCACCGCCATAGTCGGCATGGTAGTTGCCAGCTTCAAGGACTGACACTTGGAACAATATTGTAATTGCTAGTAGTTTCTGATGATCATTCAGCCTCTATATAGAGATGAGATTATTGCGGTAATAAAATTCAATGTTTCGTGAATCCTTGTGTTCCACTTCGCTACCTTTCTATCGTGGGTTGGATGAACAGAGCCATTAGACAATACGGCGCATGCTCCATTCAAAGCTGGAAAACATGACATTTATATCATCACTTCAATCTGGTGACTCTTGTGAAGCCTCGATCGATAGATATACCACCCATATTGCGCTGCATGAGCCCTCTTCCTCTACTGTACGCAAGTCTTGGCGACGATGAGCATACCACCCCAACTCATCTCGGACGCCTGGGGGAGCTTCAGGATCGAGGCCGGGCATTGGGGGATCTCATCGGGTCAAAGTCTGCTGATGGAGACAAATGATCCAGTCATTACGTACTTCTTATCTTCTTCAACGGTAGGTTTCCGGCCATGGCCGGTTTTTATTCCGGCCACGAGATATAAGCAGCTCGTCGTCGCTGTCGTGAGAAGCTACATAGCATCTCATCTCAACACCACCATCTGGCGCTCGGATCAGACCTCCAGCATCGAAGTCCGATCATCTCCAGTCTCTTTTGACTTCATTTTCCAGTAGCTCTTTGCACGATGTCGTCTTCAACCTTTGACTTTCCTGTCATGACGGACACACGTCCCGATGACCACACCCTCCCCGCCTTCATGGTCTCAACCACGCGTGGCTTCCTTCCTCGTCAAGAGCCCATCGTTGAGCTGCCAAAGGAGTTTGCCCCTCTTGAATCCCTCTTGCAACGCATGCCTATCAAGACACTATCAGGGGAGCCGGGTCTGCTGGCCAACTTCACCTTCGGCGACACACTACTCAAGGAGCTTCCTGACCTCACGCCAGAGGTAGAGAAGTATCGCGATGACCTTGTCGTCATGAATGCCCTGTACCGTGATTACTCCTTCTTGGCCTCTGCATATCTCTTCGAGCCCTGCCACGAGAGGCACGTACGGGGAGAGGAATATGGGCTGGGCCGACAGTCGCTGCCGAGAAGCATCGCGCTTCCCATTGTCAAGGTCGCTGAGATGTAAGTGGACATGTTTTTCCGAACTTCACGCGATGTCTATATTTTGTTGTTAGTTCCCCTTACCCTGTCAGAGCAACTATACGCCAAGCAACCTCTACAGAGAAGCTTTCCATGCAGCAACCTTTGAGATCCATTCTGAAGTAACATTGGCTGACATCTTTGTGCGCGTAGTGCCGGTTTCAAGCCATTCATGGAATACGCTGGATCTTATGCGCTCTTTAACTACCGCCTAGAAGACCCATCCAAGGGCCTCGAGTACGATAACCTTCGCTTGATCCGCGCTTTCGAGCATGGTCTGGATCCCACATCATCCGAGGCAGGCTTTGTTCTTGTTCACATCGCCATGGTCAAGGAGTCCGGCGCGCTTGTTACAGGTGCATCCGAGATGCTTGAGAGCTGCCTGGCCAAGGACCGAGAGCGATTCAACGACGGTCTTCGTACTCTGGTCGGTGGCCTCAGGAAGGTCAATGGCGTGATGAACAGTGAGTAAACTAGTCCAAGTGACACGTTCGTGACTGACGACATCAGCGATGTGGGGCCGTAGCAAGCCTCAAGGCTACACCAATTTCCGTACTTTCATCTTCGGTATCACTTCGCAGTCGATGTTCCCCAATGGTGTCATATATGAAGGAGTGAGCGAAGAGTCAATGTCTTTCCGCGGCGAGTCAGGAGCCAACGACAGCATGGTTCCCATGTGCGACAACTTGCTCCAGGTCCAGATGCCGGAAACACCCCTCACAGATATCCTGAAAGACTTCCGCCAGTACCGCCCTGGTAACCATCGCGAGTTCTTGGAGGCTGTCCGTGATTGCGCCCAGCAGTCTGGTGTACGCGAGTTTGCGAAAGGCGACTCGGTATCAGCCGCACTGTATCTCCAAGCTCTTGATCAGGTGCGCGACTTCCGCTGGCGGCATTGGTGCTTCACGCGCGAATACATCCTCAAGCACACATCGCACCCAACCGCGACGGGCGGCAGCCCGATTGTGACAGTAAGTGCTCTCTTGATTGGACTCTTTTGCTTTTACTAACGCGCAACAGTGGCTACCCAACCAGCTCACGGCAGTCCTCAGACAGATGGTAGAAACATCCGAGTACTGCAAATCGGTCAACGGTGTTAGCGATATCATGGACAATGTCAACCATCAACGCGAGACGCTGAGGAAGGAGGTGGAGAAGTACTGCGGAGAGCGGGGTGTTGCTGCATCGTGAGAGGGTGCGCTCTTGCAAATGATTCCACGATTGTTATTTTTCTAGATTACCCAGCACGACATGTCACATTATCTTCCAAGTGTTCTCCACTGCGTGCGCCTTTTTTTGAAGTGCTGCCTGATGGTGATATCTCGTGATTTCGCCCTTTTGGATGATGAGGCGCAGAAGCTGAGCGACGCGAGGGCGCAAATACGATAGACGATGACTGTAGAAGGTCCTCAGGGGTGGCGTTGCGGTCATGGTCGGCTATGGTAGGGTCATGAGTGGAGCGGTGGTAGGTGAGTCAAAACGCGCCGTCGCGCGAGTGTCCGCGTCATGTCTACGGCTGCTTCTATCGATAAGTAGCCCCAGCTTCCCCTAGCAGCATCCGTTACAGCGCCTTCCAGCACTTGCCACCTTCGAATGCTTGCTGCCAGACAACTCATGGAATATTCACACCTCTTCCGATTACCGCGAATACTAAACGTCTTATTAATACGGCGGACTATACGGAACACGTCCTGACATCCCCAACCCCACATTCATCACGACTATCACCACGCATCCCACGTACACCCAATCGCTACCAACAGCTTCGGGATATTCTTTAACCACGCGCTCCTTCTTACAAAATGGCTTCACGACATGAGCCCAAACAAAGCCCAGCTGAGCGGCGGAAGGGAGAATCTGTAAGTAGCAGCGTGGAAAGCAGCCCGCTTCCTTGATTCAATGGGCTATCCATTGTAGCCTCACATGCTCTTCTCAAACTAATGGACATATCAGGCACTCAGCGAGTTTGCCGACTACGTGCAGAAGCAGCAAGCGCTGCGCCGACCGCCAGGCCAAGCCCCCGCCGTCCTCGAAGACCACGACGAGCTAAGCATCTTGGACGAGCTCGGTCTCTCCGATGACAACAAGACGCATGTCCGCCTAAAGACGCTCCTTACCGACCCTGCCGAGGAAAACGTTGCAGCACTAGCTGAGCACATCAAGGAACGTCTGGCAGAGGGTCATGGAGAGGTCCTGTTCGATGTTGGTATGGAAGACAGCGGTGATTCCATGGGCTTCACCAAGAGTCAGTGGGATTTCGCATTGGAGAGGATAAGGGCCGTTTGCGAACAGATAAAGGCCGACTACAAAATGCTCATGACGCGGAACGTTGGTGGCGACGTTGAAGTTGGACCGCGCGATGCGAAGGACACTGGATTCAGTGGGAAAATGATCCTGCGACAACAGCCACAGAGTGTCGACGACGTGATTGAGACGAGGATAGCAGTGGTAGGAAATGGTGAGTTTCTTCAGGCATGAGCAAAGATACACGCTGACTCTACATAGTCGACGCTGGCAAAAGCACCATGCTGGGTGTCCTTGTTAAAGGCGGCCTCGACGACGGCCGTGGAAAAGCGCGCGTCAACCTCTTCCGCCACAAACACGAAATTGAGAGTGGTCGAACTAGCTCAGTCGGCATGGAGATAATGGGTTTTGACAGCAAGAGCGAAGTTGTTGTGTCCAACGTCGCGGGTCGAAAACTTACTTGGGAAGAGATTGGACGGCGGTCGGCCAAAGTCATCAGCTTCACTGACCTTGCAGGCCACGAGCGGTACTTGCGGACGACAGTCTTCGGGCTGCTGTCCAGCGAGCCCAATTACTGTCTCTTGATGATCGCTGCGAACAACGGTTTGGTCGGCATGAGCAAAGAGCATCTAGGTATTGCACTCGCGCTCAACGTGCCTGTCATGGTGGTCATCACCAAGATCGACATATGTCCGCCACAAATCCTCGAGCAGACCATTACTCAGCTCACCAAAATCCTTAAGTCTCCCGGCGCGCGAAAGATTCCCATCTTCATCAAGAACAGGGAGGAGTGCATCAACACCGCCACCCAATTTGTTTCCAGTCGCATATGCCCCATCTTTCAAGTTTCCAACGTCACTGGTCATAACCTGGACCTGGTACGCATGTTCCTCAATGCGCTGCCCCACCATGGCAATTACGACAGCTCTGCGCCGTTGGAGTTCCACGTGAACGACACGTTCTCGGTCCCGTTCGTCGGTACCGTGGTTTCAGGAGTTGTAAAGTCTGGCGTCATTCACTCTGGTGATACAGTTTTGATCGGTCCCGACAGTCTTGGCCAATTCCAAACGACAAAGGTACGCTCCATTGAGCGAAAACGGATACAAGTCCCTGGTTGCTCCGCTGGCCAGTCTGGTAGTCTTGCGCTACGCAACGTTCGTCGAAAAGACGTACGGAAAGGCATGGTCGTCTTGCATAAAGCTGACAAGCCTGATCCAACGACTGGTATTCTCCCTAACCCCAAGGTGTACCGCGAGTTTGTTGCCGAAGTTTTGATTCTATCACACGCAACTACCATCAAGACCAAGTATCAGGCTATGCTACATGTTGGTCCTGTGTCCCAGACCTGTGCAATAATAGACATCGACCGCCAGTATATCCGTACTGGTGATCGAGCCCAGGTAGCCTTCCGTTTCGTACAGCGGCCTGAGTACTTGACTGTAGGTGATCGAATACTCTTCCGTGAAGGCAGGACGAAAGGACTGGGTATTGTCAAGAGGGTCGGCTACGACCCCAAGCATCCGCTGAACCCTGAATTGCATAAAGATGACAAGGGGAAGGAGAATCAGCCAGACGGCAAGAAGGTTGAAGCCTCATGATGGACCGCGATACGAAGGGCTGCACATCTTTCATGTTGTCAAGAACAAGCTTAATGTCCATCTCGTAATGCTAGATACAAGCCATATTAACGATCTCAACGTTCAAACTGTTCATGGTTTTTGACTTTCACATTCATATTTGAAATTCACATGATGAAATTCTTCCACTACAAGACCTCTGTTAACTAGACGTTATGGTAAGGGTATGCTACTCCAACGTGATTACTAAATATGCTCTAGTTCCCAACTTCCATCCTCGCCTGAAACAACCACAAGTGCGCTCGCTATCGGAAAAATCAACAAACGAATGAGATCTATATGTTATGCCATCCAGAAATGCGTATCATATACTGCGTTTAACTTGAAACCATGTTCTTCGAATCCTAGTCCTCACTACTTCTATGCTCTAGTGACCTAAACAAGAGCAGCAGCAATGCCGATGGCTCCAGCGACAGCCATACCAGCACCAGGCAGCATTCCCATCGCACCTCCAGTGTAGGTTGACATGGGTGAGCCTGTAGTCGTAGCGTTGACGGCGGCTGTAGGCGTAGCAACAGCAGCAACGGTTTTGAGGAGCTCTGGTGTAGTCGTGTAGGTCATGAGGTCACCTCCGAAAGCGAGAGAAACGCTAGAGAATGGGAGCTCAGAGACGGAAGTTGCGCCTTCGAAAGCGACACGATCGGCTGCTGGTGCAGAAGGCTCGAGAGATGCGCGGTCGAATGGAGCAAGGGGGCTTAGAACACTGTTGGGAGACTAGGGTTAGCATGTTGTATCTGCCGTGAGAAGAGCAGGAGACTAACCTGTCGATTACATGCGCAACACCGTTGAAAAGAATAGTGTTTGCATAAATGATCTTCGCACCGTTGACCCACGCACTCCCATCCTCAAGGACCGTAAAGACCAAATCTGCACCCTGGAGACTTTTGACCGTGACATTACCCAGCGCAGTTGAGAAGATGACATTGCTAGGAATAATGTGGTACTTGAGTACTTCCTGTAGGGTTGCCTGGTCCGCAGACTCGAGCACGGAACCTATGGATTCAAAGGCCTCATTGGTAGGTACGAAAATGGTAAAGTCGGAGATGTTAAGACCGGTGGCTTCAGGGCCGGAGAGGCCAAAGTCGATGGCGAGTTGGGCGGCTTCGAGGGCGGCGTTCATGGCAAAGTAGCCCGAGCGATAGGTGAAGAGTTGGAAAGGTGCGCCAAAGGACAAGACTGTATCGACTTTGTGGATGGTGATGCCTTCGCCCAGCATGATGTCCTGATTCTCTTGTTAGTGTTGCTACAAGACATGTAGCAGGTATAGAGATTGGTACTTACGGCTTCAGTAACAGTGGAGATGGTTTGTTCTCCCGAGATGACACAGACATCTTCTCCGTTCTTGACAAGCTCGTTGTATGCTCCCCCAGTAAAGTTGGAAAAAGGTTGGATTTCGTTCACGTACGAACTGTCCAAGAGGGTTTGTGCAAATGTTGGGATATCAGTAATGACGCTGGCGGGATATACGCCCTTGAAGACGTGGTTGGCGAGCAGGGCACCAATGGCAATAGTGTCGTTCTTGTTCTCAATGGCCTGGCCCTCGGGCACGTCGCGTGGTACGGCTGCGAACGCATCGTTCGTAGGCGCGAAGATGGTGATGTTGGAGGCAGCGGAGAGAGTGTCAGCTAGACCATCTACAAGACCGACTAGCTCAAGGAGAGTGCTAAGATCGGGTTGTGAAGCCAGAAGAGCACCAAGATCGCCCTGGGCTACACTCATGCCTGCCAGAGTGGCATAGGAGAGGATTTGGGATGGACGCATGGTAAAGTATCTAAGAAGAAGAAGCAATGAGGATTTTGATGCGGAAGTAGATATGGTCCCGGAGACTGAAGTTTGAAGATGCGCTGCTGTGATGCTCTATTCTCATCCCCAAGGGACCACCTCTTTTATACACCTCTTCATCCCCTCGTCCAGACTATACCCAAGCACCATCACAAGTACACCAAAACCACCGGCTGCCTGATTCCTGCGTGCTTACTTCCATGACATCTACGACTTCGCAGCCAAGACTCACACGTTCGTATCTGGAAGTGCACGATCAAGGCAGCGTGCGACAAATATAGCATCATTGCCTAACTGCAAGCACTGTGATGGCATGGTCCCAGGCAAATTCGAGGTTGATAGCCCTTGGTGGCCAAGCATACTGGTGATCTGACAGCCCTATTCATCCTTCCTTGTGTACGAAGTGGCGAATCAGCAGGGGTACTTGCGGGAGCGTGGTGGGGAAATCTGGCCGGTACCCACTATCTTGCAGCAACAGCAGTCACAACCGACATAACGTAGGACTTGCAACGATGGTCGCATGCGGAGGCAACGGCTAGAACTCGCCAGAGATCGCTGCTAGGTACATACATATATGCCAAAAATAACATTGTGATATCCTGAGTTCCGGTTCTTTCGCGGGGCGAACATCGCGAAGAGAAGAGGGAGAAGGGGCCTCGGGAGGGAGCAAGATGCACATGAAGGGCCGCTCAGTATTACGAGGACTTGCTACATGTGTCCAAACATGTGACTATGCACACAATTGTTTGATTGTCGTTCCATGCACACGTTAACTGTACATCACGACGAATGAAGTTGAGGTGTGTATGAAAGACGACCGATGGAAAGAAAAGCGTCACATGGCGATGCAGCAATACAGCACCGGCACAGGGCGTTTTTCATGCAGGAACGGAGACTCTGCCATACCGTCACTAGCGTGCGCGGAAGGAATGGCGAGATTTGGGCAGGTTGCCTACGTCAGTAATGATCTGCTTCATGTGTATTTCAAATGTCCATGTGTTGCATCATCAACAGCAGAGCAACAATTTGAAAATATCTAGAGATGTTTTCCGCTGCTTGAAACGTCATTGCTGCAGGCTGAAGGCCAATAATCACCGATGGAGGACGGCAAAAATCCGCCTAATCACGCTTATGCATGAGCGACTATGTATGTACCAATCACGAATTACCACGGCAAGATTTCACCGTTCCAAGCGGCCAAAATTGACCGTGACGATACGACTACTGGTGAGTGAAAAACTATTAAATCCCTTCATGTTCTACTCAATTGACAAGGTTTGCTTCATATCGCTGCAGAATAGCGGTATAATCGTTATACCATTCCTCCAGCCAGCTTGTCGCATCAAACATACGTGTGGTAAAACAACTCAGCGTCGGATCCACGACCTTCATGTACATGACTAGATTGCGCATTTTTAGTGCGCAGTCTTCGATGCGAAAACAGTCTTTTGGTAGGCACTGCCCGTATGTATTTCCTGGGTCGGTCGTGGCTACCATAACGGTAACGAGCACGAAGAGCGTGTAAACAATGGTAGGTGCAAAGCAAAATGACGGCAAGTGAACAGCCAAAGCTGGACCCATCTCTGCAGCGGTGTCGAGGACTGCGTGGCAGTTCTGAACAAGGGCTTCGAGAGTCGCTCTGAGAGGAGCGATGATGTTGGCTGGCTTAGGGTAGTCCTTGATAGGAAGACGGCCTGGGATGAATGGTGCTGCAAACGATGCCTTGTTTGTGGGTGTATGTAGCACAAGCTCGTACAGGTGAACCATGGCTACATGCCACCAGACCTTTAGCGTGTGGGATGTTGCAAGGGCAGGTGGGATCTGAGCTGCCCATGCATCAAGTTTGCCCTTTAGCGTATCGATTACGGCATAGGTGTTGTAATCATTACCATCCACAAAAGTGGCAATTTGACAAAGACACAGATGGGTGGAAATCTCCATATTCAGCTGGGTGATACGGACAATCTGACAAAGCAGCATGTCGGAAGCATCTCCTTGGCTTTCCAGGTACAAAACACACTCTTCATGATAAGAATCCCAAGGGTACGGGTTGGGCCGGCGCGTGCTGATCGAAGAGCTCGACAATGCCACATAACAGGCTAGCCAGGTACGCCGTGCCTCGAGCGACCCTGTATCCTCATGCCGGCAGAAGTAAGCCACGGGAGAGGGCTGCAAAGCGAATCCTGCGATGCCCAGATCGATCGCCATATCGGCGGCTAGCTGCAGGATCTGATAGCAGCTCCCCTGTTGACCTCTCCGCGTACTTTTGTTCCAAAGCGTGGCTACGAGTAGCGCCTGCACGAGCTCAAGGGATCTCTGCCCCCTACCGATGACCTCCTCGCCCAGAATATGCATCGTTTCGCGCACTAGCTCATCGTGCGTTTCCATGTCTACGCCTTGTGCCTCTTGCGTAATACTGTATGCCATGACAGAGAGCAGTAAGATGGGAGCTTTTGCACGGAGATGGTCCAGGTCCGTCGACAGGCGTACGACGGGCCATGCCGCCCCCGCTTGATGCGCATAAAGGTGAAGCAGGCGTTGTTGGTTGACAGGCGCAATGCGGGCGTCCAGGAAGGATAACACACCATCGTAGTGGTTGTCGGATAGGCTACCGGGCGATCTGCCTAGCGTTGTGGTGGTGATACTTCCAGGCGAACGACTCGGCGTAGGGCTGCTGGTGCTTTGACTTTGTAGCAAGTTGTTGAGTTCTTGTATCTGCGCCTCGAGCTCTTGGATACGATTACGCTGTAGTCGCGGCGCTGCTGGAACACATTCCAGGTTGTTGCGCGTGCATCTTCCGCAGCTCGCTGCGTCAGGGTCACTGCTAATGTCGCACTTGATTTTTAGACGATGGCACTCTTCACAAGCGCGAAGACGTTTCCTCATGATGCTGTCTTCTAGCCTGGAGATGACAAAGGGTTTTGGCTGGAGTTTAGTGTGGAGATTTGTCAATGACAAGCTGATTTACGCCCTGGGAAAGGCGCGCTTGGTACATGACTGGACAAGCGTGGCTGTGCCGGAATACCAGTACGAAAGAAGCGTGGCGGTCGAGAAAGCCGGTATGCCGTCCGGACGACCGAGGACTATTCATTTGCAGCTTCAGATGAGACGATAGAGTTGGAATCTCTTTCGAAGTTCTCACCGGTTATTCCGATCTCTAGACATGGTCTGGCGGCCTGAAATTGCAGGCGGATAAATTACCCATTTGGGCGCTATCAAGTTTGCTAAATCGAGAGCGATGGCTTCACTGCACTGCCAAGATTCAGTTCGTGGTATGGAACAATGGATCTATCCAGAAATATACAGCATCGATTACTTGTGGTAATGTCGGTCGCAACAGCGGACACGCGATACCTGTTTAAGCGACGAAATGCGAATTCCACCTACTTCTCACACAATCGCCAAGTATTACCTAGGTAGCGTGAAGCACATACATTGCTCTCGTACCATATAAAGGCAGAAAACAAGCACATGTATCGAACAAGCATATCGATGCACTCTCTGTTGAAGTAGCGAAGATATCTACAGCCTCCAGGACCCACTCAAGCTTCCCCACGCCCCCAGACGAAGCTTGTTCGGAACAAGCAACGCGTGCCAACCCCGCTTACCTAGCTATCCGCCATCAACCCATCACCACTCCGGGCACGCCTCAGCCGCGGCGTCTCCTGACGCGCCTGCCCGGGCAAAGGGGGCAGGTCATACCATGCCGCCACTCTTTGCGCCCATACTCCCCAGCTCACACTCACATCCGCGCCCCAATTCAACGATGAAGCCCAAGAAGTTTCTCTTAGATCGCTTACCTGGCATACGCTGGGCGCCTCACGATATACCATCAACCGAGTCGTCATCATCCAAGCCCAAGTCGCGGAATCCCTTTGCGCTGAAACCTTCCGCACCGCAACACGGCGCGGTGCGTCTGCGCAAATCAACCCTCAGTTTGACGTCTGAACCCGATGTCGAGGTTGATGCGCGGACGCACGCCCAAGGTCAGAGCATCTTCTTCGCGCGTTTGCCGATTGAGTTGAGGCGGATGGTGTATGAGTACGTCATGGGCGCAGAGATCGTGCATCTGACGTTGAGTACAAAGAAAAAGAGGTTTGGGCATTTTCTCTGCAATAGCGATGGAGACAGTAGGGAGTACATGTGTCGCGTGCTTGTATTTGGCAAGAAAGGCGCGAGGCTATATAGTGGTGGTGTGACTATAGCGAGGGTTTGTAGACGTATGTATGTATTGCCTCCCTCTTCTGACTATCATTACGACAGCACTGGGGAGACTGACAAAGTGCTGGGCCTAGGTACTCCGAGGCTATTCCATATCTTTATAGCGCGCATACCTTCTCTCTCCTTCACATCACGCATCTGCTCTACCTTCCCTCCTCCATTCCACAGCCACGTCTCGATTCGATTCGCACGCTACATCTGCGCTGGGCCATTCGCGCGCTCCCATATCTGCGTCGCGGCCCTTCCAATCGCCTCGCATACCGCGAAGACACGGCCAACTGGGAGAAGAGTTGGGGAATAATAGCGAGCATGCAAGGGTTGAGGCATCTTCAAGTCATGTTGATTGATCCCAGCCCGCAGCAACTTTGGGAGGCTAATTGGGTAGAATTGGAAGACATTTTGCTAGACAGTGTGAGGGCGGTGAAGAGGCCACGCGACGCTGTAGTCATTCTGCCGTATCCAAGTTGCAGGACGGACTGGGATATGGGGGACAGCACAGTGAGACTGAGAGTACTAGACAATGGCCTTGGTACTGGAGGTGACGAAGACTGAAACGTGTGATCTTTTTGGAGACGACAAAGCTCGCTATATTTCCGGTCAAGAATATATGTGGGGCATGTCGCTATCACCAAGTTTCGATCGAGAACCAATCGTACGATGATAATTCATGTAACATGCAGCTTATGCCAAGGTCTTGTCATGCAGCCGATCGTGCCTGCGTTCAATCATTTGTAGTAAGTTCCCTGGGACGCCTGAACAGAGCTTACAAATATCTTCTGGGCACAGTTCCAGTGGCACAGTTGCTGCCGACAACAACAGAGGAATCCCTTGGGATATTCGGTCCACCTGGTTGATGTATAAAGGTGGTTGCGCATGGCATACACAGACCACAGTGTGCTACGCTTCTCAAACTTCGCAGAATCTTGATCCTCATTCTGATTTCTCCCATCATGTCGCACCTCCAGTACTTCGACTACCCTGGCTTCGGCGAGCGATCCAAGCGGGATCTCAATTACAGCCAGGCAGTTCGCATCGACAATCGTATCGAGGTATCCGGCCAAGGTACTTTCACTCCGTAGGATATGTTATCTTATTCTGACAGGCTCAGGTGGTTGGGACCGTACGACGGAGGAATATCCCGATGATCTTTCAAAAGAGGTTGACCAGGCGTTTGATAACGTCGAACATGCTATATGCCAGGCTGGTGGAACGGGTTGGGACCAGGTGTATAAGACGCGAATTTACATTACTGTGCCCCTCGATGACATCGCGGAGCCGATCATCCGCAACATGAAGGAACGATGCAAGAAACACGGGCCTCTTATGACAGTTGTGCAGGTTGTAGCTTTGTACAAGACGATGAAGATTGAGATAGAAGCAGAGGCGCACTTAGGCTGAGTCGCATTTGGGAGTGGGACACCTGTTGCTCGAGTTCATATCTAGTTCAGCGTAGTCTAGGGAGATCTCAATGCCACACAGAGACTGAACAAATGAAATGTAATTTGTACGGCTGGCCAGTCGAAGCAAGAATCGCAGTGCTAGGTGTTCAACCTGTAGATGTCGTGGCGAAAGCTGGAGTCATGTGTTGTATCCTACATCATAGGTTGTAACTGTAAGAAAATGTGGAACAAATCTATGTAGAAGGCAAGCTGTCCGATAGTCTTAGTTGTTTCGTCAAGACATAAGGTTAGCGCATTCTCGGACCTCATTGTCATCGCGGCTACCTGCTTAGTGGGGCTTGGACTGCGCCACAACCATTGCCCTATGGCAGCTTCCCCATCCCTTCAATCTCACGCAAAACTACCCCAGCATTCCGCACCAATAGTCGGCAGCGACCACAGAAACGGCGATTTGATTCTCTGGGTCTGGCATTGCGAGGCTTTCTGCGGCTATCCACCCGGACGTTCTCGCGCCACACGATTCGACCCCGACTGCTAGCTGTCCTCGCGACTTGTTGCCTGACGCAACAATGCCGAATCGCTTCAGGGCTAGGTTGAAGGATGTTAGCAATCAGACGGGTATATGTCTACGGAAAGCAATGTGGCAGACCTCCAAGTGCATCCTGTGGACAGTTTGCTCGCCTTGCATCTGTTGTTTACTGCTGTTCCTGCCCCATCGGCATGGTAGAACAAGACCTCCTCTTTTCGATATAGAACCGCCAATGATGCCTACCCCTCGCAGGCGCGCTCTTTCTATTTCGAGAGAATTGCAACCGAACCAATTGACGGTTGCTCAACCTCAGTCTACCTTCATCAATAAGCTACCTTTGGAGATTCGACGTATGATCTACGAAAAGGCCCTAGGAGAACAGCCCATACATACGACTGTATCAGATGGGAAGCTCGTTGCTCGACGGTGCGGTTTGAGAAACTGCACGTGTTATCTCAGGCCCTGCCCACCCGGTCAGAGGTTACATTTGGCACTCCCTTTGCTTAGGACCTGTCGACAGATGTAAGTCATACATCCAATATAACTGAGCATTCGCCTTGTTAGCATTAGACTGACCAGCTGATATTCTCAGCTACTCCGAGGCCGTTGAATATCTTTACAGAGCCAACGAATTTTTCATCTCTACCGACTTGGAAGACTTCCCAACAGCTGGTTATCTCTCCTACTTCTTCCAACCTCAACGCATCGCGCAGATCGGCAATCTCAACATTGAATGGGATCTTGACCGTCATCAGTATTTCAATCTCAACCTAATGCCTGACCATCACCGACGCGAGTGGTACAGGTCTTGGGACGGCTTAAGCAACATGACTGGCCTCCGCCGACTACACATCAAGTTCTACTTTTGCCTAGACCTTTGGCAGGGATGTTATGGCGAGTTCTGGGAGCAAAATAACAAGGAGCTACTCCAGCCCATCAAAAAGATCACGGCTCCAAGAGACTTCCTCATCACTCTTCCAAACTGGCAATGTTCGACCAACATTGACGTTGGTGAATCCAGATGCACTTTCGAACTGCCGGAGAGGGTTGACCTGGAAGGGAACGCGTCGTGACGCGTCCGTGTGCAAGGACGCTTCTCAGACGATCGCAATCATAGGAACGGTAGCTTCTCGGGAATAGATGCGAAGCGGTCTTGAATACTAATGAAATTTACTGAGAAGCTCGTTCCTTCTGGATTGCACCCAACATTTGACTTTCGGAACATCCACCAGATTTTACTCTCGTAAGCACTTCAGCGTACCCACAGTGTATCCATCCCTCAAGGTGTGGTACAGTTTTATGTACAAGTCACTTGAATCCAACGTCTCCGGATGAAGGCTCTCACACCATAAACCGAGGGAACAGGAGAATCCCACAAGGGCAAAGACATTAGACCAGCTCTACCGCTTCTTCGGAGTACACGACTCCAAGAAGCAAAACGCTGCCAAGACACAACACGACAATGACGCATAAGAGACATGCACCCAAGCTCTCGCTAGCGGCTTGATCAGGTTTTGTTCCGCCCTCTGTACCAGCGCGCGTATCTTATCGCGTCGTTGATCAACGTGACAACTTGGCAGCTTGGCGAGCTAACTCGTCCTGAATAGCTTTCCATAACCATCTCATCCTCCGCCAGCCTTTGTGCACAGCCAAGAGCTTCGAGCTAGGGTAGCTCCACCACGTGCAGTAGCTATGCAGCTCAGCTCGAACACCTCCAACCGTGCGGCGTGTGATATTTCGGCGTATTTGATCCATCCGAGGCATTGTATAGCTCTGGCGCTTCTCCGGCGCAGATAAGAAGCAAAACATGGCCGCCAGTATGCTTACGCTGCAGGAACCATTTGAATTCCCAGGTTCCCGGAAATCTCTGGGCTGATGATTGTCGCAATGCGCTCTTTCGTTGCTACCTCTGTCCTCCTTGGGCTTGCCTCCGCTGCTGCTGTACCTGCTATCGCGCCTCGTGGTGGAGACGGCTATGGTCATGGCCACGGGCACAAGAAGTTCAACGTGCAAGTAGGCGTCCGGCCGTACTATCTTGTCGATAACATGGACGATGGTCCGTTGAAGGAGAAGCTTGAGAGTTGTTCAGAGCAAGAATTCAAGACCTCGGACTTCGTCTTCGCGCATCGTGGAGCGCCACTTCAGTTCCCCGAGCATACTCTCCAGAGCTACAAGGCCGCGCACCGTATGGGTGCCGGCATGATCGAATGCGATGTTGCCTTTACCAAGGATAAGCAACTCGTCTGCCGCCACGCCCAATGCGACTTGCACACCACAACCAACATCCTCAACACTACACTCGCCGACAAGTGCACCACCCCGTTTTCGCCCGCCACCAATGGCACCGCTGCATCGGCCAAGTGCTGCACCTCGGACATCACACTGGAAGAGTTTGGTACCCTTTGCGGCAAGATGGATGGCTTTAACCCCAACGGCACCACAGTTGAGGAATACATGGACGGCACCCCCTACTTCCGCACCGATCTTTACGCTCAAGACTGCCCCAAACTCATGACAGTTGACGAATACATTCCTTTGGTGGACAGCTGGGGCCTAAAGTACACTCCCGAGCTCAAGACACCCGAGGTTGAAATGCCTTTTAATGGATACACACAGGAGCAGTATGCTCAAGACTTGGTTGACAAGTTTCGCGAGTACGGCATCGATCCAAGTCGCGTGTGGCTCCAGTCTTTCCTTCCTGACGACGTCTTCTACTGGATTGATAACGAGCCTGAATTCGGAGTACAAGCTGTGTATCTCGACGAACGCGTTGATACTCCTGAAGGTTACGCCAACGCTACGGCTAGCATTCCTGAACTTGCTGCTCGCGGTGTTAAGATTATGGCCCCTGCTATGTTCGCTCTTACCAAGGTGAATGATGCGGGTAAGATCGTCCCATCGGAATATGCCATCGCTTGCCAAGAGCATGGTCTGGACATGGTCGCATGGTCGTTCGAGCGCTCTGGATGGCTGCAAATTGAGGGCGGTGGATATTACTACCAGTACGTCGCCAACATTACGAACAATGATGGCGATATGTACACAGTACTTGATGTGCTTGCTCAGGATGTAAAGATCTTGGGGATGTTCTCGGACTGGCCAGCCACAGTCACTTACTATGCCAATTGCTTCGGGTTATAGGCGGTAGTAGAGCCTTATATATAGACCTTAAGGGTAATGGAGTAGTGATACAGTATTGAAGATACTATCGACTCAAGCAATACAACCAAAAGTACCTGCAACTGTGATCATTCTCCCTACCTAGTTCCGTTCCAAGCGTTGATTATGGCAAGCAACTATACAGTAAAATCTCATAACAAAGGAACAATGGAGAATAGGAAGATTACAAGCATTACCACTTACGTAGTTACAACATTAATCCAATCTAACACATTCAACACTAAGTCACCATAGTAGTGCAAACTTCGTAGTAGGCAACCTGGCGGGGTTCTCGCCTCTCCCTCTGCTTCCCTCTACCATATTGTGACCTCCTGCACTGATAGCTGCTGCGCGGTCTGCTGGATCCAAAGAATATGACATAAACAGAAAGATGGATTAGAAGTCCTAAAGTATGCTACTCCATGGTTTACTGGGTTGAGGCGGGCTCAGGAGCTTTCCTGTCACCGTGATAGTTCCAGACCGATCGTGAGCGAGGATCATGGGGGCATCTGATACCCCAGTCTACGCCATGGCCGAGATCAAGTACGTTATAAGGGTAGCTCTTGTAAAATGGGCTGTTTCTGGTTTTTCTTGGTAAGAAAACCTTGGAACAACGCTGCTAGTAGGTGTGATTATTTTCGCTTCTCGGAATATCCTTGGATAAATCCAACAAGGGGGATCAGGTCGGGCTCCAGGAAAGTTTGATAATAGATCTCGTGGATTTGTGCAGTATTTGTAGTGCAAACAATTCGCACTGAAAGTCTGATCTGTTCGCTTACCGCTTTACTTGTCGTACATGCATCACCCTAGTGTACATAGAGACTAACAACAGATGCGTGAGACTTCAAAATCCAAGTCATGGAGAAAAGACTAAGATAGAGACCACCCGGGAGCATTCAAGCCCCGCGCGTACGATGCACTTAGGTGAGATTTGGAAACGCCAATTTTACAGCTTTTGTTCTTTCTAGATGTCTATTCTTGCCATAGTAAAACTCCACCAAAGCACATACCACCTACGTCTTCGACTTGACGCTGCCAGGGGTGAACGACGGAGCCGCAGCATTCAATCCTTTAGAAGGCGGCGGCTTGCTTTCGTTGACCGACTGGCTAATCGCAATGCCCCATGCGCGCCCATCAGTGGACTGCTGTGTAGTTGCGCCCCATTTCTGACCAGTGCCAATGCCTGTGACCTTTCGCCAGTCTTCAACGTTGTTGTTTTCGGACATCTCAATTGTTTTGGATAGAAGAGGGTGAGTGGGTAGACGTTGTAGATTAGTTCGATTGTAGCGTGTGGCTGTTGAGTATATACAGTTCAGGAAAACGTACTTGAACGCAAGATTGGGGGTACAATGTACATGGTCAGTGTGTGAATGAATACGAATTCCATCTATTATGGAGTCCAGGGGTGCCGTAAAACGCACTATTCGCAGGTGTAAATGCATGAAATACAATGATTAAGAGGCGTTAGGTTTTGACCACTCCAACGTTGTGTGTATGTGCGCGTGCGTACGTGTTTGATCATTGAAGTGCAATTCCTCTGTAGCACCTATGGCGTGCGTAGAATGAGGACATTGCTTGACTAGGATACGTCCTTGGAATGTCTGCGCTCTTGCACTCTGTTCCTGTATCCTCCATATCTACTGTATGTGCTTTGTATAATGTAAAGATACGTATTCGTGCGCAGGTGGGGACATAGTGCGAGCGGCGTCAGCTTTGGCCCGCTGGATATCAGCTTACCAGTAAAGTAGCATGACGGTATTCATACTAACTCTCCTCCAGGGTGCCTCCGAGTGTCGTATAGAATACCTTCTGGCTTACTTGTTCCGCAATGCACGCTCTTCAAAGTCCCGTATAAGTGCTTCTGCTGCTGCAGCATGTTTGAATTTTTCCTGCTCTAGAAGCCCGTTCTTGTAATTGTGCAGTTGTTCCACAGTCTCTACTGGAACGTGAGTCTCTCCCCTTGCCACATCGACTAAGCTCAGCCAATCGTGCATATAAAACTGCTTCTGATGCTCCCCATCTTCTGTTTCAGGTAGTCCAGATATCAAATCGAACAATATGTGGTTTAGAATGATATATTCCTCACTGTGATCGAGCGAAAATGGCCTGAACATTACTGCGACGCATTCGACTTCTCTGAGGATATAGTCTCTCTTCTGCGCTGGTGATGCATCCCTTGGAAATCTCCATTCCACGCGATGGCCATTCTTTATCATAGTAGTCACAAACTTGTGACTGGCAGTATCCAGCCAACTGAACGCCATGTGGGGGCGCAACACAGCCTTCTCCTCCTTTGTCAAGGAGGCGAATGACATTGCTTCCTGTTCAGCCATAACCGTTCGCTTCCAGTGTCGCTCTGCAAGCATGGGAACATGGACTAAAGACTTGTTGAACTTCGGGTCGTCGTTAAGTCTACGCAAAGCCACAGCCTCCTCGTAACGAGACCTTTGTATGGATGGCATGTGTTGATCCATATTCAGTCCCAGGAATGGAAAAGCCAATAACCCGGCCCACGTTCCTGTAGAGACGGCTCCGAGCCTTCCAAGCAGACGTTTTCCAACTGAAATACTATTCAAACCCTTCATCCTAAAGGAAATGAGTAGGCCTGCAATTCCTCCGGCAAGCATAGCATCATCGCCCGTGAAGCCGTGGCTGCTCTGCCACAACTGGTATTTTGGCGGGGTAATGCCTTCGTAGCGAAGGATCATTTCATCCAGCTGACGTTCACGGTGCGTCAAGTAAACCATCGTAGGTACGCTAATGACTGTACCAAGACCTGCTCTAGTGAAGAAGTACGCAGATTTTGTCGGCAAACTCAGCAATGGTCTTTTAATAATAGTTCGACCCAGAAGGAGAGTAGTAGCAATTATCGGCGGCAACAAGATAGTTGCAGTTAGTTCGTTTGCGCAAAAAGGTTCTTCTTGTTCGCGTATGGCTGGATGGAGACCTTGTTGTGTGTGAATAGCTATCGCTCAAGATAAGATGCTATGTAGTCACCAAACTCACCTGCACCCGGAGGCACAAAAAGACGAACCATTATCGAGGACCATCAGAAGATTGGAAAGAAGCAGTCTGAGAATTAATCGTAAGAGTGACACAAGAAGATAAGACTATAGTTGCGGCGTGGTTGCACAGGGCTAACGTCCGAGAAAGGCTAGATCCCGCGGACATGAATGCTGACTCATCATCGAATCTTCGCATCCGCTCAACACCAGCGAGTCTGTTGCCAACAGGAGGATAGCCATCCACAGCCATGCCACCACGGCTAAGAGCGGTCCGAGCCGCCTCAAATCTGCTGTCTGTATGTTCAAGAACACCTACAGCGGCATCGATCGCCCCATTTCTCTGGCCCGCTCAGCAAAGATGCGCGTCCATTCTGTCTTCGCTCTCCGACAATTCAGGCGCCTACAATAAAAAGATCCGCCGAGGTCGCGGACCTGCTTCAGGAAAGGGAAAAACCGGTGGACGTGGTCAGAAGGGTCAGCACGCACACGGCAAAGTCCCGGCAGGTTTTGAGGGAGGTCAGACACCACAATGGATCACCAATCCTGAGCGAGGGCGGGGGAAGTACAACCCCTTCAAGGTGGAAATGTCGCCGATCAATCTGGACCGAATTCAGGATTGGATCAACCAAGGGAGATTAGACCCCAAGAAACCCATCACTATGAAGGAACTGGCCAAATCAAGGTGTTTGCACGGCGTTAAGAGGCATGGCGTCAAGTTGCTGGCGAGGGTATGCATCTACCCTTTACGCCCGCTGCATGGATGCTAATTGTGACTGCAGAATCCGGAGCAATTGACTACACCCATCAACATCGTCGTCTCGCGCGCCTCTGCCGACGCTATCGCACGCATTGAAGCTCTCGGCGGCAGCGTAACAACACGCTTCTACTCCCCCACAGCCATCAAACGCGTCCTTCGAGGCGACACACACCCTACCATATCTCTTCAAGCCTCACCAGACCTTGTCGCTCTCACCGGCCGTTTGCCAGCCGCCAAGATCCCTTCGCCTATCCTCAGCGCCCTTCAGACAGCCAGTGAAGAAAAGAAGAACGAAGCCATGGCTGCTGTCATGAAGCAGATTGGTTCCAAGTACAAGTACAGACTGCCTGATGCGACTGGCAGAAAAGACATTGAATACTACCGCGATCCAGCACATAGAGGGTACTTGAACTACCTCATGAAGGATGGCGAGAGCCCGAGTCTGTTCTTCAAGCCGCCAGGCGAGGCCAAAGACAGGAAGAAGCAGAGCGCGAGGAGAGATGCCGCCAAGGCGAGCGCGGACAACAAGCTATTTTAGAGAGGGGCACCGGAGCATGTATCATACTATGTGTATAATCAGTAGTCGTCCACGCGTACGTACTACTACAGTGGGTGGAGACGCAATGCAGAACAATGACCTGACGTGCATCCATCGGCTTACGAATTCTTGTCCATACCAAACATTCTTTGGACGCTCGCTCCGCTGACCAACACTGGCACCATTGACTAACAGATAGGCTCAGATACCATCGTCTCTAGCTCTGCCACGATGTCGTTATCCGGCAGGCACATAGTAGGAAGTGGCTGTGCAGCCTAACATCAGCCATTGCGCGGCATCCCTAAAAGCAGAAGTAACCCAAAACCCAATTAACAACCAACAATTCAGCACCTTTGTGCATAGCCCCAACAACAACCACTGCGGCGGTGTGTTTAGTGAAGTCGGCGTCAACAAAGAAGCGCGGGATCATGCTTGTTTCGAAACGTTTTATTACTATCACCATGAAACGTGTCGCACTGTCCACAATGGTCAGTCCTCACTGTTGAATCCTGCGACATTACCCCAGTGTACGGATCATGCTTGGTGCAAGACATGGGAAATTCATGTCAGATGGCACGGACGTCGGCAGAGTCCCTGTGCTGGAAGTGGAGGCCTTGTGTCATTTTATATTGCTGATGTCATGTCGGTCTGGGTGTGAGGAATAGAAAAAGTGCAAGCCTCACGTTGAAAGTCTACAACAGCGTGTTGAGATTCGATTCATGTTGGCCGATGAGCCAAATGTGGTACAGGCAGCTAGGTAGCCCCAAAGGTGTCTCAGCTGAGGATTAAGTTCCGCAGCGTAATCTATGTTAACGTGTGCTAGTTCGGCTAACTTCCCTCTTGAGTCGTTTCTCCTCTAAGAATGACCCGAATAATCTTCACTTAATCGCATACTCTAAGAAGCAGCCTGGGCCCGATTAACCAATGCTGCAAATGTATTTGCAATCCTCTATTACATCGAAACACCAATGTCGAAGGCGAACACCTTTTGCAGTACGTTTCAATATTGGGATACAACCCAGCGAACAAACGAGCTTGTTCGTGCCGGTAGAAGCGACGGTTGTTTTCGTGATAGCGGAGCCCAACTTCAGCTTCATCGGCAGCAATAATGCCTGTTTAGTCGAGGCTGGGGCATCCTCACCGGAGGGCGGGCACCCGTGTGACGGGAATTTGTGATCTGCAATCAACGAGGACGTTATCCGATGACGAGAGGTCAGGCCAATGTAAAACTAGATATGTGGACATGACATGGATTGACAGACGCTGACAGGGATTTTAGTTATGCGGAATCCCGCCCTGTCAGGCAGTGCAGTTGAGACATGAGCTTCCTCTGGATGTCCTTGGAAACATGTCACAAAACTATTAGCTGCAGTGAGAGACGGACGATGGAAGATGATGATGCACATGAAAGCCTTCGTGCCGGTGGTAAACAGCCGCGACATGTCCATAGGAGTCAGCATAGACCTAGTTGGTCGGCGCTCCGCTTGTGCGAGCCGGTGAGACTGTCTGCACGTCTTACAGATCCTCTGAGTCGACGGCTGCGTGCGGCGTTCTTGCTTGCTTCGTCTCTCTTTGTCGCTGCACAAGGCTGAGTAGTGACTATGGGGATGCGTAGCGATAACTCGGCAGGATCATCTGTGAATGCACATGGTGGCGCAAGCCAACGTATCCTGATCCATTCGGTGACATGCACGTGGTGCAAAGGCTGTCTCGTTTTGAAGTAAGAAAGTGATGCGTCGCTTTTCCTTATACGGTTGAATCAAATGCGCTGAGCAATGTACTGCGGCTCCTAGAGGGGTGAGCGCGGCCTGAGTCCGTTCCAGCAAGTACAACGTCTGTACACGGGGTGCGTTCGTGTTGTCTGGAAGGTGAGCTGCAACCGGCTCCGCGAGCGACACCCCAAAAGTTGCTTCTGAACACGGAAGGAGGTGTGGAGTGATGTTAGCCGGTCGCCTTTGTTGGTTGTTGCATGATGGTGGCACGATGACTCGTCGCGCGCGTCGAAAGCACCGCCAGATGTCCAAGCTGGAACATCGTTGTTCGAATCGAGCGCTAGGCAGCCAACGAATTGCAAGTCGTTTGTTGTGTAGCCTTGAAGGAGTCTCGCCCGGCAATAAAGTAAAGTAGAGCCTGAACTTGGCAAACTAGCTCGATGAATTGTATTTGGAAAAGATAGCGAGGGTTTACCGACGTCGGAAGCATTGTCTTTGGCGCAAATAGATGGAGCCTCCTGCATGATACTTGGTACGCATGGGGCATGATAATAAGGTGCGACTTGGTCACACAAAGTTGGTTGGCTGACTGACGCGTGAGTGGCTTCGCTAGTGTGCTAATGAAGCTCGTGGCGTAACGCATACGGGACTTGTCGTCCTCCATGACAGTGTCAGCCGCGGGATAGATGATACGGGTCAGCTGTGCATCGGGCAGGCTAGCATGGCCTCGTGGATCGGTACCAACGCCCTTGTACATATTCACATTCAATCTCCGGTGGGAAGTAGCAAGTATCGGTACCCCTTGGATAAAGCCTATCCTCCCGCATTATGGCCTGTCCGGTCAGCATGCTGTATCACTGTCAGACGAACGGCTTTGCAGCCCGAGTGCGATGTGGTTGCGTCACACTATACTTTAATACAATGACCAGAGGATCACATCTAAGCATAGCAAGGGATCCATCATACTGGACGAGCAGACCTTGATGTTGGGTTGCTGAATGATTAAGGCGTGCTCGCTCTAGAGCGTGGGGTTGCGCGTTGCTCATTCGTCGGGAACCGTCTGACCTACTTCTTTCAGCACCAGAGAGCGGGGAACTGGATAGGGATCTGAGGACGCCGCAAGCCGTGCAAAAAGGCTAAACTCGACCCAGTGGACTCGTGTGGCAAAGAAGTACAAGATCCTGAGTCGGCATGAGACTTGTTGCAGTGCGTGCGTCTATCGCGTTCTGCTTTTGCAGCTGGGCCGCTAAGGCAGCAATCGTAGACCGGAATTAAAGAGCCGTAGCCAAGATGCATCGCACTTCTTGATCGCGAACGTTTTTGGGCACAGTGTCGTAAGAGGACGGCGAAAAAAAACCCCACCCATATCGCGCGCTGGCCAAGGGCTTGCGTGCTCATCGCTGGCGCCAACCATATACGATGATCTCGGCTGAGTGGTTTTGGCAAACGTCTTGTGGCCAGGTTGCTGCACATGATGAAATGCACTAGGGGCGCATCCATGAAGCTGCTGCTCGGCAGGGTCGATTTGTTGAAGGCAGACGATGGAGTCCATCGACGATAGATGCATGGTGTAATGTACGCGTCGTGGAAGCGCGGTACGTCTCAGCGCGCCATGGCCAAGCTAATAGATGTGCCGTTCATGGTATAGACTGGGCAAGACGGAAACGAGTCGTTGGGGCTCGTATATTCGTGTAATGGTGAGGAAAGCGGTGCCGAGTATCGTCCGTCCCTTCCGTACTACGCCCCCCCAGCCGACCGTGGAAGGAGCTATTGCCCTTTCTGCGCCAAAATAGTCACCATCAATCTCCACACGACGGTCAAGACGCTCGGTCAGACGGGATCGCTGTTGAACATGTACGAAGGTACTGGCACTGCAGGCGATGATGCACAGCGGCGAAGTTAGTTTCGATAGAGCCATGACTATTGCAGCGCGGTGGAGGACCATGGGCGGTCGTATCACGCGTATCAGCGAATCGCCAGCCGAGTCGTCCAGGCATCCCGAGCCTCCCGTTGGCATGGAGCGAAGGGGCGTGTTTGAGATGTCGCTCCTCACACCGACATCGTACCGATGCTATAGTTTTACGGGTGGTGGATGGCTACTAACAAGCATCTGGAATGCATCCATGCTTGGTGATTGCAAGCGTTTGCCATCCATGTGTTATGTAGACGCGATTACGTGGGCAGCTCTTTTTTTGCAAGTGAGTGACGGACCGAGGAAAGCGCGACGGGCACCCCCTGCACATGTACGTATGACGGCGCTCGCTTTGCTAAGCTCCACCGTTCCATCAACAACCTCATTGCATTGCGAAGCAGGATCACCGGCGGCACAGACTCTGCTCAGTGCTATCGATAGATTACGGGCTGCGTATCCCTTGCTGCTCTGGCCATATTTCCGTCACGGTTTCACGGTTAGCGCTGCTAGCCAAGCAGGCGACTCGATAAGCAATCATGCTTCACGACGCCGGTGCTAGTTGGACGGGTCAGCAATGGCAACCTTGGAACTGGATGTCGTTTGCAAGATTTGCCAGACTTGCAACACAGGCGTCCGGGACAGGTGGATGCACCAAGCAAGCCGCATGCCCAAGCAGCAGCTATGGCCAGCCTGATTGATGGGCAGCGTGATGGAATGCAGAATGCAGCAACTGAGGCGCGCGCAATAGCCCGATTCGTGTTTCGTCAGGGGCGTTGCAAAATGGCGGTTCTGCAGTGCAGATTGCCTCAACTTGGATTGCACGCAACACATGGCCGGCCTCAATAACAACAGTTCGTCTAGCGTCGGGGGTGCATCATACTTGCCATTCGCCGGAAGCATCGGAACCGAGGGCTGCAGCGGTCGAGCTCCACATGATTGGAAGTCACGAAGCAAAATCATCTGCAAAAAAAAAAGAGGATTGAAGATCAGCAGCACTCGCTCAAACTTCAGCATGGGAAGCTTCGCGGAGGACAGGGTTCGGGCTCGGATGTAGAGCATGCTTAGGGAAAGGTAAGACGGCGATTTGGCTAGGGCGGGCTGGCTGGGCGACTGGTTCGTGTCGCTTCCTCGTCTGGCAGCACAGCGCCGTCGTCTGCCAGTCTCGCCAGTTCGCTATGCTTGCGCTTGCATCAGCGTGCCTGTGTGCTTTTTAGATGCCTGAGGGCGGCAAGCTGGCAGCAGCTGGTCAAACACGGCATGGGCGGGACGCTGCACGCGTAAAGTGCCCTTCCAGACCGCCTGGCGCTGGTGGAGGGTGATTAGGATAGCGATTATTCATGGATGGCTGCCGCTTACGGCAATTCCTGCTGCTGGCAAAGTTTGGATGTGGCAGACAGCGGCCTTCATTCGTGGTGTATGCTCCGCCTTGGCGGGTGCAGGTGGCCGCGATGCGTAAGGGATCTCACATTCTCTGATCAGTCGTCGTGTCTGAGACGGCAGCGCTCCGGGGAGGCAGCAGGCCTACCATGTAGGCTGCAGGTCGTTGATGAGGCCCACCAGCGCTATCGTTTCTTCGTTTGTGGCCGGATGGTGTCCCACTGTCGCAGTGCGCACTGGGAAGGTCGTGTGTGGTGGGGTGGAAGATGGCTGAAGCCCCTCTGGACGCGCACTATGCATCGCCTGCGAATGAGGGGGCGCCAATCAGACGGGTCGGGAGCGCTGAGGCTGTATCGCGCGGCGCAGCTGGTGCTGGGGTGGTTTGGCGCAGGGATTGATTATTCACGTTGCTCGTGCTGTACTTGTTGTAGTAGTATGTAATTAGCCCGCGCGGCTTGGCTGCTAGCAGCGTCGGTCGCTCCTGTCCTCGCGGCGAACCCCCGGTCGCGGTTGCTTTGTGCTGGTGGCCGTGCGCCCCTAGCTCCTTCCAGGCGCGGTTGATGTCAGAGCGCGGCTTCTCCTTCTGGGTCCTGGATCAGCCTCTTGGGGCGTTCCTCCTACCCTGCTCGCTCCTGCCTGGAACCTTCCGAGCCTTCACGACTCCGTGTGTGTGAATTACCTATGTTTTATTCAAATCCAACGGCCCCAAGCCATGTTTGCCATGCCAGCGTGCGGGCCCCCGACAATCCGCCTCCCTACAGTCACAATCAATCACTCACCACTACCACCACCACCACCACTACCCACACCCAACACCAAGCCGCTCCCGGCATAGCACCATCCGCAAAGGACGCTCACCGGGCCTGACGTCTCTTTATTGTGTCCCTCTGCACCCTCCTTTGCCAAACCCTCACCTCCTACAAGCCTAGTTGCAAGCGTCGTTGCCGTGCACCGGATTCTGCCTGGCGTTGATTGGCCTAGTCCTTCCTGCTCCTGCTCCCCATCCATAGCTGGCCATTGTCAACACCATCCTTCCAGACCAAGGTTGAGGCAAAATAGTAGCGTGCAAACAATAGCTGCCCGGACATGACCGCCTGTTGCCGTTGACGTCGCCGCCGTTTTCATCACTCACCTCGTCCTCTCCACCTGGTCTCTTGCCGTCCATATGCTCGAGCTACAGCTCCCTCACCCAATGCCTCACGCCCTGCCGCGGGAGCCTCCCTTTAACCTGTATGCCACGGCACCTCGCAGCTCCTCGAAGCTCGACTCCACGATGCACCTTCCCTACCCGAGCATCTCCAACAACTATGAGCACGACCCGCTACGAACAGCCCCAAGAGCTCCCCTCACACCCCCGGACCTCCCGGGCTCAGCAGTGAGGGTAGTCTCACTTCCACCAAACCAGGGTGCCGGGCATCAGTACGGCTACCAACTGCCTGCTATTGGCAACTCCAGATCAGTGGCTGCTGCAAGAAGTCCTAGTCCACCAAGACAAGCACCGCAAGCACAAGAGATGGCCCAGACACCGAGAAAGAAGTACACCATATCGCCAAACCTGAAGATACCACCAACCATCAGCACGCCGCAAGAGGGTCTCCCTCAACTGGCAGCAGAGGTAATTTGACATCCTCCCACCCTTGATTCTGAAACTGACTCGCCAGGTGACATGTCTCTTCTGGTTCGAGAGCTCGACAACTCTCAAGCAAGTACTCGAGACCGCCTCGCCACGCCAGCCTATGCAGCCTCTCGTTCCTGACGCACATCCCACAACTGGATTCAGAAAATGGGTAGCAACTATCTTGACCACTACGCAGGTTGCTCAAAATGTCATTCTTTTGGCGTTACTTTTCATATACAGGCTGAAGCTGACCAACCCCACGGTCAAGGGGAAGCCCGGTAGCGAGTATCGATTACTGACTGTAGCTCTTATGCTGGGCAACAAATTTCTCGATGACAACACATACACCAACAAGACATGGGCCGAGGTCTCGGGTATCTCGGTGCAGGAGGTGCACATCATGGAGGTCGAATTTCTTAGCAATATGCGATACAGCCTGTTCACGTCCAAGGAGAAGTGGAATGAGTGGCACGGCATCCTGGGCAAATTTGGCACATTCTTTGATCGAGCATCAAAGATTCCAGCGTCGGGTGCTGTAAGCCCAGTTGGCCCCCAGAACATGCTCGGCCTACCACAAACCTACGCTCCGTCACCGCCTACTCAACAGCAAACGTCACCACCAACTTCGATGATGTACTCGCCGAACCACATGGCATTTTCGAATACCCCGCTTTTGCAACCACAGGCCACGTCCGCCACCGTCTCTCCGATTGGCGCTCTGCCAGAATTAGGCCCCATTCAACGTAAACGCAGTGCCGATTACAGCATTGAGCCTCCAATGAAGCGACAGGCCCATGGATTTGCACCTGGTCCTTACAGTAATGCACCTTTGATCCCGACGTTGCAGACGCCTATCAATAGGTCATTCGAGCCACCACCATCCGTGAACCGACTACCTCCTTTGCCAAGTCTTTCGATACCTCCACCTCAGCAGATGCCACCTACCCAGTTGAAGAACTGGTCAGATCTTCCTTTGCCGGTCCCTGGTGGACGATCCATGGCCATGGTTTACCCTCCACCCGTCCAATGGCAGCAACCGACTAGCACACCAACTTCATCGGGCCCACCCTCCTACCCTCATAACTACACGCCTTCTACCGACCAGTCCCGACAGATCAGTCCGTATCCCCAGTCAGCTGGTTCTTCACCTGTTGGAAACTATCCCGCAACCGGTTCGAGACAATTATCTCCGTCGCATTTCCTTAATCAACGCCAGTCTCCTTATCGACCGGTCCGCAGCGTGCAGACTCTACTTGTACCCCCACCTTCGACGTCGATCCATAATCCAGCGAGGAACATCGGATACGATCAGATGCAATACCAGCCTTTGGGTCGACCAATGACCGATCGTCGCTCTGGGCTTCTGCCGTACATGGACCGTAGTGCATGGCCTGAGACTAATCAGTTTAACCAACTACCTGTTCCTCAACAACCCATCTTCCGATGAACGGGTATCGCTTACTTTCATGTAACAACTTTACGAACTTTCCGGGCTTGCTTTGATTGCCCATCATTTAGTCCAAAGGACACGATATTTGCTGCGTTCGAGCGTGCATTGCATTGGGTGGTACTTTCAGTGGGCATTTCATTGGTCAATAGATTTGATCATCACTTTCCTTATACTGTCACTGCATCAACAGGCGTTATTGTATATATAGTTGTTTGCCTGGTCGACATATTTAGGTCTTCCTAAGACCGGCTCTGATACGACGGGCGTTTTAAGGACGGCGAGAATGCCTGTGCTTAAGTCACTGGAAATCATCACCCTGTGATAAGCACCCTCAATCCAGGATAACAAAAACTCTAAAGGAGTGAATAATCAAAAATTCAAGTACAACTACTTTAAAGCATCGGTTTGACTGTACATGTATGACGAATTGACTCAGCTCATCTCACAACTTTAGGCAACGTCCAGTAAGTGCAGTCGCCTGGCATGTATGCAGACCACCCTTCCAGCGTGAAAACTCTGACTTCGGTCTTGGCTGTTCTTCCTATCTAGATCCTGCTTGACTCTGTAATTCATATAATTTTATCTCTGGCTCAACAGTACACAATACTCGGAACGGTGGCGGCCAGTCTCAGAATGAATGAGCATGTTGTTCACATTGAGTAATATGCGCCTAGATATGCTAAATGAGTTTTGCTACAAACTGCTGAATTCGGTAAATTGAGATAGAATCGTAATGTTCTAACTACGTAGGATTTATTCCTCATAACCTTCCTACTTTCCCTTGTCATGAGGTTTGATATTGTAGCTGTCACAATACAAACTGAAAAGATGATGTTGCTGATACTGATGGACAGAGAAGTCACAATCCTCTTCCAGGGCAGTCGACAGGAGACGTTTGCTATGTGAGATATTGAGTGAGCAGCTTTATCAAGATTTTGGCTTGAGCATGATCTTCTTGCATTTGGCTACATACGCAGGCAATTCTGTGCTTGTGTTTGTAGATATCGTGAACGTGGCGACCAAAAGTGGTTACAATTCATCCTCTGCGTATCAGGACAAGAAACTAAGACTTTATAACAGGATTTGCAGCGATTGGTCTTCAATTCTATATGGTGATTGCGTGTAACTTAGCCGGGCAGTCTTTACGCACACAATACGAGGTCTCTCATACAGCAGGCCTGACGCGCGCCAAGCCGCTTGCAGGAGCCGCGGTATCGCGTTCGCGGTTCACTCAACTTTGCACACTTTCTCTGTACGCCAACTATCCTGAAAGTCGCCACGATGCCACCACCAAAATCTAAGAAACTCACGGCGCAGCCCGTGCGAACGCGCCAATTCGCTGGCAAGCCAACAGCAGCACCTGAACCCGAAGAACGGTCGAGCTCGGAATCAGAATCGGAAGAGGAGCAGCCAAAGCCAAAACCATTTGCAAAGCCAAAGCCCGCGCCAATCGCATCGTCGTTCCCTAAGTCAGCGCTCAAATCCAAACTTGCATCGCGACAAAAATCTGAAGCGGAGCGCAAGGCGATAGAAGATGAGTTCGAGACAGAAAGCGAGGAAGAAGAGGAAGAGGATGGCAGCGGGAGCGAGAGTGGTAGCGGCAGTGAGGACGAATCATCTGAGGAAGAGTCAAGTAGTGAGGACGAAGCACCGAAGAAACTGCTGCGACCAGTGTTTCTCAAGAAGAACGAACGGAACAAAGTGGCGCCTGTCAAATCAGCAGAGGACATAGCAGCAGAAGAGGAGGCACGGCGACAGGAGCAGAATAGAGCGCTGGTGCAAGAGCAGGTTGAGCAGCGCATAGCAGAGAAGGCAGCGGGCAAGAAAGACTGGGACGACGACGTCGAAGAGGCCGACATCAACGCCATTGACGACACTGACGGTGTTGATCCCGATGCTGAGTATGCCGCCTGGAAACTTCGCGAACTCAAGCGCATCAAACGCGAACGCCTCGCGATTGAAGAAGCCGAAGCTGAGCGTGCAGAGATCGAGCGCCGTCGCAACCTCTCCGCCGCCGAACGCGAAGCCGAAGACCGCGCTCATATCGAGAAACAACAAGAAGAAAAGGGCGATCGCGGGCAGATGCAGTACATGCAAAAGTACTTCCACAAGGGTGCTTTCTTTACAGATGAGCTAAAGGAACTGGGAGTAGATCGACGGAATCTGATGAATGCGCGCTTCGAGGATGAGACAAATCGAGAGATCCTGCCTGAGTACATGCAGATCAGGGACATGACAAAACTGGGCAAAAAGGGTCGGACAAGGTACAGGGACATGAAGACTGAGGATACAGGCAAATGGGGTGACTTTGGTGATGACCGGCCGCGAAGAGACAAGGGCGACTTCGGCGTGGATGAGAGATTCAGGCCTGATGCTCATGGCGGCAGAGATCGGGATAGGGAGGGCCCTTCAGGTGCAAACGCAAAACCGCTCGGTGAGAGGAAGAGATTTGGAGATGACCACGATCGGGACAGCAAGCGACCGAAGATGGAAGAACGGGCTTGAGGGATATCATCATTTGGCGTTTACAGCATTGGGCGGCGTACTATCATCTACGCAATATCATACCCACCGACTCCGATTGTCGGTCCATTATTCTTCACGAACCCTCTCATACATCCCCCGTCCTTTAACATCTCCGTCTGCCATGGCACGCGCGTCTTCCCTCCCCTTCTCGACGTCCAATCGCCACAAAAGTGGTGCTGGTAGCACTACCAATACAGCCAGGAAGATGAAGGCAGGGCGTATCGTACCCGCCTGGTCGACAATCCAACCTACGAGAGCTGGACCGAAAGCACTGCTACCCTTGTCTGTAACAGCATATAATGCAAAGAACGCGGCCTCGCTGCCTTCTGGAATCAATGGAGCATATACAGATCGTGCATACGATGATATACCACCCATGACAATTCCATGAATAATGGCGATTGGGTAAATCTCCCATGCTTTCTGCAAACCAATAAACCCCAAGCTCTTGAACAGAGGGATAAATCCGAGTAATCCGTATAATGGGATAATTTCCATGCCCGCTACACAACACAGCAGTACCGTCTTTGGCTGTAATCCATAGCGCCTCTGTACATGCGGCCATGCGAATGCGCCTATGATGCCGGATCCGATGGACGTTATGGACAATAAAGCGATGGCAATTGTGCCCATATGCAACTCTGTGCGTGCGAAGAGGACCGCAGTTCCAGATATTGTTGCTACTGCATCTGATAGCAGGAACCACGATATCAGAAAGAGCAATGTCTGTCGTAGTCTTATCGCTCTCCTGAGTGTTCCCCAGAAGCTACGCAAAGAAAAGGACGTGTAGAACAAGAACGTGCGCAATCTCGACGACTTCCCTCCGGAAAAGCTCTGGTTATTCTGGGTGGGCAGCGGTGGACCTGGTCTCGGACGTAGCCACAATAATGTTGGAATGGAGAAGATGGCCCACCATAGGCCGACCATGAATAGGATAACTCGAATGGAGAGGCTAGGCGAGGTTTTCGAAAGACTAGTTTTGCTGAAGAGATAGATTATCAAGATAGCCAAAACCTGTACGAAGACAGCGGACATGTAGCCATACCCCACGCCTTTACTTGAGATTTGCGCACTTCGCTCTAAATCCCGCTTCAATCGATTTGGGTCCAAGTGGTGGTGTGCAGACGAAGGAGGTCCACTGGTGGGATTCAGGGACTCCAGCTCGACGTCTGACGCTGAATCAGATGTGAATGATTTTCCGGTCGTGTTGTTATCTGGGTGGTTGGCGACGAGTAGCGGTAGGAATGCGTTTAGCAGCACGAATGAACAGCCTAGACTTGAAACGCCAACGATTACTAGGATTGGAGCCAAGTAATATAGTGATGGCGAGATGAAAATGAAGAGACAACTTGCTAGTGCGCCCATGTATGATGTGAACATGAGCATCTTCTTGCGGTACGGGCCTAGCGATCTTGTTAGTGATTATCGAATCATTGGACACTGTGTGCTAATACTTACCATGATCAGCGAAGGAACTAAAACATATCAAGACCACAGCTTGAAGTAATACAGCGGTAGAGAAGGTGTACATCGCAAAACTGCTCGTTGACATGTCTCTCCCAAGATATCTCACCATGCATTGCTCAGAGTCTCCTCCTTCGGCCTTCTGGCCTGCATTTTCGCGTATCCGGAGTCTTCCGGAAGCGGAATGATCAACACACGGTGTTGAATGATCGGAGAAGAAAACGCCATTTTCTCTGGCCAATTGCTCGAGAATCACTGGGAGAAATGCACCCTAGTATTTTGAGCAAAAAATCCTAAGAAAGGAGGTGTGTTCGTGTTTGGTGAAGGAGAGGATTATGACGTACCACTGCGACTACAGCGAAGACTTCGGCCGCGATTGGATAAGCATACCAAGCTTTCAATTCGCGGTCGGTAGTAGGACTCGTGTCTTCGCCTTCATATCTATCGGTGCGCGATATCGATATAAGCGTTTCGTCATCGTCCAAGTCGAAGGACATGTTTGTTTGTTGTTGGAGTTACGGAGTGCGGCATTGAATAGAGGTTTGTAAGACTGTTGCCGGATCCCGATGTGGTGCCGGGTTCTTGCCGAGAGGGTCGGAAATAGGTGGGGCGGTATCGAACAATGAAGATTATGTCAGAGCACTCTCACTTTTGGTTGGGAAGCTGCGTTTCACTTTCCACAGTACATCTCAACTCATTTGAAACACCAGTTCCAAAAGCATGCTCTAGAGTCCTAACCAGATAGGGGGGTTGGCTTGATGGCGCGGTTCAATAACGCGTTACATCATCGACTTCCCATTAGCGTCATGAAACCGGCTGCAAGCTTTCCATATAGGTCTTTGGCCGCCAGAGCGATGCGCTGTTTGAGACGCGCGTATGAGCTTGCTCAGTAATATCTATCTGGCGGTTGAATTTAATGCCTGATCATGCCAGTCACCTTGCGAAGCCGTCGAGTAGCTTCCAATGCTCCGCAAGAGAAGCGAAAGACCAAAGTCGCGCCTAAGGCGCGCAAAACTCCAACGAAGACATCTACCCGGATAGATACTGAAGACCACCCAGCGGTGATACCAGAACCGCCAGACCTCCCTTTCCAGCTTCAGCCTGCAAAATATGGACTCATCCAGGAGCGGGTATGCGACAGCCTGTACGCATTAGTAGTCCAAGTGATCCTATGGAATCAAACGCGTGGCCAAATGGCACGCCCAGTTCTTTTCAAGATACTCGCAGCCTACCCTTCACCAAATGAGCTGTCCGCCGCATCTCTCGAAGACTTAACCACAATGCTACAGCCGATTGGCCTCCATCGAATTCGAGCGGCTCGCCTTATAGCACTAGCGAAAACCTGGCTCTCGGCTCCTCCGTGCAAAGAACGAAGGTACAGGAGGTTACATTACCCCAATCATGGTTGTGGTGCCGATGTTAAGCCAGGAGAGATTTTAGGGCCTGATGATGAAAGAGAAGGCTGGGAGATTGCGCATCTGCCGGGTATGGGCGCCTATGCACTGGATAGCTATCGCATCTTCTATCGCGATAGATTGAGGGGTATCGAACCTACGGATGGGATCGAGCCTGAATGGAAAAGAGTTGTACCGACGGATAAGGAATTAATACCATATCTGAAATGGAGGCGAGAAAAAGATTGTTAACGGCTCCAACATACAATATCTCGGAACGTTTAGGCTTCGGAGAAGTAGTAGCTTATTGGGTGCTAGTCTGCGCACTCCGCATATTGGATATGTTTTCGCATACCGACGAACAAATCAGCATCATTGTTACCCCGCAAGAAGACTCGTCTGGGAAAACAGAAAGTGGCCCGCATCAACCCAACCCAAAAAAGCAGATGTCTCACCTGTCTGACCACCCGGGCATACTAGCGCGCTGATGAACTCCCAAAGTTGCTAACGTAGAAGCTGTGCGACGTTGGAGAAGCCAGTAAGCGACACATATTGATAGCGTTGGTCGCAAGGCGTACGCCCGGTTAGACTTCCAGTGAGGCTAAGATTTCCCAACAACACAATTTCTTTTTTAAACTCAGGTACGGCCGTAGGAGCGGTTCATGCAATCCACAGTCGGCACATCAATTGCTGCGACGTTGTACAGAATCATCTCACTACTACGCCGCAATGAAAAAAACAAGAAATATCGTACGAAGCGGAATCACAGCCTAGAAGCTGCAAGATTGTTAGATTTTACGTCCGGATCCCGTTCACACTGGTATCTGGTCCGGAGGCTGTACTTACAGTGAGAAGTGTGCTGGCAAAGCACTTTTAGTCCACACGACTACCTAAAGCCGCATACAAAACTCAAACATGGATATCGAAAAAGCTACCAGTGCCCGGACGATCTTGGCTCCAGTCAACATCGATGTTGCCCACGATGAGCAGACTAGGATAAATGCTGGACCTGATACCATCGCAGCAGGACCTGCTACAGCGCCTGGTATCGCAACATGGAGACTTGTGTCGTTATATGGCAGGTAAAGTTGTTAAAGCTGGCTTTGATAGCCTTTATCTGACGACCTATCGTCTAGTATCTGTATTGGGCTCTTCTTATCGTTCTTGGACACATCGATCATCGCAACTGCCATCTACACAATTGGTGTAGAATTCCACTCATTATCCAAGGTCAACTGGATTGCCTTGTCAGTAAGTGCGCCCATACAAACTATAAGTGAGATATGTAATGACATTGTATACTCACATCTAGTACACACTTGCCTACGTTGGCTGCACTGCCATCTTTGCAAGCCTCTCCGACGTGATCGGTCGTCGCAACGCCTACGTCGCTGCATTTGTAATCTTCCTCGCTTTCTCACTCGGATGTGGCTTCAGTAAAAGCCTCGACCAGCTTATAGCCATGCGGACACTACAGGGTGTGGGCGGTTCAGGCTTGTACTCAGTGGGCTTCGTTATTCTTACTGAGATTGCATCGCCGCGTATGTCCAAGATGATCGGTGCTTTGGCAGGAGCCATCATTGCGATGTCTGGCATTCTGGGGCCAGTTCTAGGCGGTATCATAACGAACTATACGTCTTGGCGCTGGGTCTTCTGGATGAATGCTCCCGTTGGCATCATCACGCTTATCCTTTTCATTGGGGCGTGGTCCGAAAACGCTCGGATCCGAGGTTTCCAGCGCCGCAGTTTCAAGCAGATCGATATCTTAGGTTTCCTTCTCTTGGTTGCTTCTTCCGTACCTTCGGTAATTGCTTTCCAGCAAGCTGGGATTCACATTCTCTTGGATAGCACCGTCTGGTCGTCTGCACTTTTCGTTGCTCCACTCGTCGTCGGTGTCCTGTGCTTCGTCGCGCTCTTGGCCTGGGAGTGGTTCGTTGCAAGGCGCTGGCCTGACACTATAGGTGCGCTCTTCCCAATGCGACTAGCTAAGAACAGAGTCTACATATCAGCAGTGGTCACGACGATGCTGACAGGCTTCCCATATTTCTTCATCATATACTCGCTGCCGACACGGTTCCAGGTGGTCAACGGAAAAAATGCTATTGTGTCGGGCATAGCTCTACTACCAATGCTTGGTGCTTCTGCTATCGGAACGACTATTGCTGGTGCGGCTTCGAGTAAAAGAAACAACACCTTCCCGATCAACGTCATTGGTGCTGCTCTTATGCTAGTTGGAGCTGCATCTCTGTCTACATTAGACAATACTGTGGTTCCGCAAGCTCGAGCCTATGGGCTGCAAGTCTTCCTCGGCTTTGGTTTCGGCCTGACTGTCAGTAATTCAACTTTACTCGCATCCATTGAAGCCGAGCAGCGAGATACAGCGGTCGCGCAAGGTATCATGGCTCAGGTGCGTGTGCTAGGGGGAAGTATCGGTATCGCTGCATCAACAGCTATCTTAGGTGTTAAACAGCGTCGGCAGCTTCTAGACCCGATGGTGGTTAGTGTTGCGCAATTGGGATCACTTGCCGATTCCATGCGTACTCTTTCGCCAGACGCGGCCCTCGCCGTTCGCCAAGCGTATACAGATGCATTCAACGAGACTCTTGTCGTTTGCTCTATCGTCAGCGGTGTGGCTCTGCTCGCAAGTCTTGCAGCGTGGCGGAAGCAACCCACGGTTATGAAGATCAGAAGATAAGCTGGGGCAGGTTGCAGCCACAAGGCAAAGCTTACTTGCAGGAAGAGGTTTGAAGGGTATGGAGATGGCTTTGCAAGTCAAAAGACGATCTGTGTATTCTGCAATACATGCATTCGATGAATACCTATGCTACATGGGAAGGCTCGGTCCAATGACCAACCGAGACTCATCTGTTGAGTCAAGGAGAACGCAGCGAACTTCCTGACAACCACCCCCAGTTATCTCAGGGCGCAACGTCCATCATAGGGACCTGCTCCTCACTTCCCGCTTCCTCCAACATCTCCTTCGTAGGTCCGCTCTGGTTGAATGGAGGCGGCGGCACTGGCTGTTTCTCCGGTGGGGTAGGCTTGAGACCTGTATCAAAGATCTCATTCGCAATCCCAATACCAAGCGGCACACCACCAATCGGCAAAAGCCCATCGTGACCCTCCCTAGTACCCATAGTCGTATAACGAATATCCTCGACGTTTTGGAACAAGGAAGCACCGTTGTTGTCTACAGCGTAGACATCCTTTGTCGTCGTGGGGATCAAAATATCCTTGGCGGCTGCAGCATCGAAGCGCCAGTGGACGCCGAGAAAGATACGCGAGATTGCGTTCTCGAAAATCATCTCCCAGACGGAAGAGAAGTGGCGTGGAACTCGTGTGCGCACGATACCTGGCTGATCGGTAATGGGCGCTTTGGGGTCGTAGGGTTGGCGGAGATCACGGCTCAACCCGTTGAGCTCCTCGGATACCATCATATCGATGGCGATGTTGTCCACTTCGTCGTCCTTCCAGTTTCCAACTCGTCCGTTGTAGTAGCGGCGGACCATCTGGAAGACGGCGCCGCCGAATGTGGCGTGGCCGGAGGGGTAAGCGGGGAAGGGGGGTTTGAAAGGGATGTCGTTTGTGTTTGTAGCTGGAGCGCCGAGGGTGAGCCAGAAAGGGTCACCACGATCTGGGCGATTTGGGTCACGGAAGTTGTCGTCACGAACACCTGAGAGTGGGCGCCAAAATTCAAATTCCCACTTCTCCTTCCAGGAGAAGATTCCTGCATCGGCACAGGCTACGTTGACCAGAGCAAGGAGACGGACAAAGTCTGCGTTGTTGACTTCGCTGTTAGTCAAGTCTTCCTCCTTCTTGTATGTCACTGCGATGCGGCGGACAATCTGGTTGTAAAATCTGGGTGGCGTGCCGACCAAGTTGGAGCCATCGTAGGCCCAGAACATGCCTTGAGTCGTCTGAAAAGGGCTGCGCTTGGTGGAGTTGAGACCGGTAGCTCCACCCATGGCAATGATTTGACGAATACTATCATCGTATTCAGCTTGCTCACCAACGGCAGAACGAATGGCTGGCGGGTCAGCAATCATATGCTCAGTCTGTGTAGCAAAACGCTTAGCAGTCTTGCCATAGAACTAGAACGCCGA